CATAACATCAAGTATCTAACATCTTTTCTGTCTTCTTTATACAACCAGTCCACTCAACTTTCTGGTGGCACGACACCTGAGGAACCCATCTACACCATACTCCTCGAAAAAGCCACACAACCACTACAAATTTAATCAATATCCAACCATCCGTCGTGCTGACCAGGGCTGCAGCAGACGAGTGGCTAGACTTACTGGTTCGGAACCCATCAGAGAAGTGGAACCGTTTCGCAAGACCTAGAAGCGAGGGCAAAGAAATCAGTTAGCTAACACTAGCTGGAAGGAAGATGTTGGATATTTGTTGTTGGGTTGTCTACAACCCCGAATTCGAAATGTGTAATATTTATAGCTCAGATGGTTGAAGTGTTTGTTGAAGGGGCAGAAACTTTCACTTAACTGGCTTTCGCGTATAGAATCCCTGGACCACTACTTCTTGTGGTTGGTAAGCTGAAGAACTAGAGAAAAGTGGCGGCTGAAGTGTTAAAATTCAGTTAGTCCCGGGCACATCTCAGCCACATGTCAACTAAGTATCAGATCGGCGTTTAAGGGATTCGGATGAAATAGCTTGGGCTGCGTCTGCAATAAGGGCAGTTCAGGGTCTAACAACTCTTAGGGAGCAGAAGCTACGCCTGATATCTAGCCTACTATGTTCCGGGCGTAGTTTCTGTATGTGTCCCTTAAAATAAGCGCTGCGGCTAAGGTTCAGTAGGTGACGAAGTAGGTGTCTAGGGGTGCTTATAATGCTGTGAACCATTATAAAGCCTTCTCCTAGCCTTCTGTATTCTAGAGGATACAGACTCGGTGCAACCGGTCGTTCTTCTTGTGTTTTAGACCATGGTCTTGGAACAGATTTTGTCGGGCTCCCCTAGTTGCTTCCTAGGGATAATTTGTCCTTCTACAGAGAAGGGGGGGGACGATGGTCCCGAACTCCGGGTGGGGCCCTATGAATCTGTTGAAAAATGTGTGGGTGCATCTACGATCGAACTGTCCGAAAATTCGCCCAAGTTAATAACGCCAAGTCCCCACGGAATGCGTTCCTGTCACAGTTGGCATAGGATTTTCAGTCTTGAGGGACTAAGATGCCGAATCCTTCTCTGTCAGCTATGCTTCAAGTTCCATACCGTTGAGACTATATACGTGTAGTGTACCGCGTTTCAGGTGTACCACCTCGCACTTATCAGGATGAAATGCAAGCCTGTTATTGTAGCTTAGTTTTGAGGTTGAGTCAAATCGTCCTAGAGATAAAGACTGCTTAACTCACTTTTGATTTCTCTCCATAGTTTCACGTCGTCGTCAAGAAGGATCCCGGAAGAAACCTGTTGCTGAACCTTGAGGAGCATTACTGGAACATTCTGTTTCCTCAGATATACAGAAACCCACTCGAACTCCAGGTGAACGGCCTCGAAGATATGATGACAACCAGTCAATGAATAGCGGTCGTATTTCGATTAATTTCAGTTTACCAATAGGGCAGTTGTGCTGGAGACGACCAAACGCCTTAGCAAGGTCTGGGTAGATAACATCAGTTCGTCCTTGATGGTCAACAATGCTACCCTATCTATCCATTCCAGTGAGCAGATTGCTAATGCAGGAGTAGCCTTTCCAAAATCCTTGTTGTTGGGGTGCAAAGAAGTTGATGATTGCAAGGTGATCCTTCAGTCTATGGTAGACTAACTATTCCACTACTTCGGTAGCTGTGGATAGGGACGTCAGCGGTCTGCATTCCTTCGGATTGCTTCGTTAACCCTCTTTGAAGATTGAAATTATGTGGCGCAACTTCCAAGAGTCGGATGCCTTCCCCCCGGCTTACAGAACTCCTAAATAACTTACTAACAGGCTTGAAGAAGATTGATACTTCTTCCCATATTACCGCCGCATGACTTTTGTCCGGTTGTAGAAAGGTGTTCTTTGTGAGCATCTCATGTCTTAATGAGTTGTCTGCAGGTGTATTCGCTGCCAATCCTCTTGTGTTCCACCCAGTGGTGCCCCTCTAACCTAAGTATTTCACAAGCCTAGTTCATTATTAACCCAGGCAACTTGAAGCATTTCGGTCTCGAAAGTCAACAGACTGGCCGATCCCATGCGTGATCTTGTCAAGTATGAATCTCCAATGGGCGTTCATGTCCCGCAATACATGGTTAATTTTCCAATCTGTCTGTTTCAGTGCGATTCAAGGAGCCAGTGTCAAGTCGTCTGAAGTTCCAAGGATGCTCACTGAAAGATTTGGTTAGATTGGTTTTACAGACAAACTGGAAGCCGACAACAGCGTGATCACTTGCCCAAAGGAGGAAGGGTTGCTGAGCTTTCAACCAAGAATTCTCTATTTGTGAAGATGCAGTCTAAGCGAGATGGGGTTTGAGTCTCCCTTGATCGCGTTGCCGCTCTCATATTTTCCGTAAGCCCTAGTTCCCAGTCAGATGAAAGGATCAGGCCTCAGTAGAATCGTCACTCCCACCAAACGTGTGATGTGCTAAGTTAACCTTCGGTGGGTTGACGTCGTCTCAAATTAGCATCTGTGTGCTACGCTTTAGGAGAGCGTCTGATTTTCTCTAGCATCTGGTCATCGTACTACAAGTCAGCAGATGGCTTCCTATAAATGACTCCCACCGGGCACTTTATAGTACTGGATAGCTCTATGGTTCACCGGATGAACTCCTTGGGTCATTTAACTTCTTGAATGTAGATTTGATGAGCTGCGATAGAAAAGCTGATGTAAAGTGCTACTCCACCCCTCTGTCAGCCTCCCTGTCGTTGCAAAGCAGCATGGCATTAGAAACTGCCGGGCCCTGACTTGACATGTCATGGGAAACCAGTGTCTTAGTAACACCAATAAGATGTGCATAAGTGTCCTTACTTGGTTCCCGTAGTTCGTTTAATTTATTCGATAAACTTTGTGCGTTTGTATGGATGGAATTTAAGCCATTTACTTGGGGTGCACTTCCTGAACCCTCTTCATTCTGCAGTTGGCTGGCTGAGTCCTCAGGTGTGGGGGCTTGGAAGGTGCCCAGGTGCTGCCTATCAGCACAGTGTTCTCTCCTTTTTGTATCTAAGCCGTCTTCCAGATGTAAAACTGGATTCAGTTTCTTCTGTTTTCATTGCATCCTCTTGTTCTGTGACCTGTCAGGCTGCAGGCGGACTCCGGGTGGTAGGCAGCTTCTGCTCGCTCTGAATGTCTCCAGTGTGGATGCTGCCACTTGAAGGGCCGGAAAGGCCACTTTGACCAACCTAGGTCTGGGGACACAGTCTTTTATGGGCATCCGTGAGACGTTTCGCCTTATTACTTCCTTGAGGTTCATGGTGTACTTAAGGAGCTTCCACTCTCGGGAATCGTAGTGAGCATTCTCGGTGCTGAGATTTTCAGGTACGCCTTATGCTTTCAGGCTCCTTCGTCCAAAGTAAGCGACGTAGTTGTCGCCCAAGAGCTTCATTACAGCCATCCTTTCAGAGTGTGGGATATCTGGTGATATCCTTGCCTTCCCTTCAGATGCTAAGAGCACATCCTCGACATCGTCTAGGTTGGAGAATGTAAACCTCAAGAGTCAGAGCTTGACCCTAGTTACTGGATCGGGACAACGTGAGAACCTAGTTGCAGTTATGGCTTAATGTGGCCTGGCGTAGGTTCTCTCACAGAACCCCATCGCTCTTGCATTGAAGGCGTTGTTAGAGATCAGGGCTATCTGTCAAGATCATCGTGATCAGAGAATAGTTCCGAACGGTGGTTTGTTTTGTCAGACTTTGACGCTCATGCCTTTTTGTCGAGATTTCGTCTTTTCTTCAACTTTGCCCTCATTTGTGGTTTATTCGTTTGCTTGTTTGAAACCCCGTAGGCGACTCATATGGTCTTCTGTCCATTTGACTTCCTTGCAGACTAAGGTTTGGTCTCCCTACTTTCCAGATTACACTGCTTGAGCTTGTTCCTGAAGCTTCCCGCCTCCGCAGACCCTACGGGTTTGACTGAAGTTGAAATCCGAATGTTTTCATTTAGCACAACGGATGTTCATTCTCCATCTTGAGCATTCTTGCTCCGAATGCCCCATCTGTTGACGACAAAATCCTGGTGAAGGATCGTAAGACAGTTTAGTTTATTGCATGGCTGGGGTGCATCATATCTTCCAAACCAGTCCTTTTCACTCATTAGGTGACTTGACTCGGTTGTTCGACTTCCGAACCTCCAAGTCCTACGGCTTAGGTACTGCTTTTAAATTTTCCAGCTTCCCATTCTTTTCCGTTTTCATTGCCAGCCTGTTTTTCCGTTGACATGTCGATGATGTTCTCAAGAACATCTTGCACTGCAGATCTGCACAAGGAGCAGTGCCGCTTGGGATCAGGCTTGCCGAGTTCGGTTTACTCAGTTTGCTACAGTCCGTGCAAGGGCCAAGGAACCAGTCGTCCCAGGTATCACATTACATACCTGAGTGAACAAGTTGACAGTCCTGCCTCCTGCAAATCCGTTCAGCTACCATTGCCGTAAAAGGTATGACAAGGGCTAAAACAATGACACAAAAGCTCTGATAAAATCTGAAGAGGAGCAGAAACTTTAACCTCACCAGATTGGAAACCAAAACTGGAACCGAGGTAAGGTTTCTTTATCCTAGTAGGAACAGAAATACACAAAAAATAGGATGGAATTATTGAAATTGAAACTTGAGAGAATACTCTTACTGAAATCCAGAGCTTTCGTTGTGCTTTCACTTCAAAAGCCAAAACGTTAAATCATAGCAAGAATTCAATTCCTTTCAAAAAGTGCAGTTCGATGATAGTAATCAAGGTCTCGGGTTTAGTTCAGTTCTAAACTTGAGCATCTAGTTCACCAGAGACTTATCTACTGCAAGATTTAAGGCAGGTTGATATGCATTCGATCTTTTACATTGAGGATTGAGAATCGAGAACTGGAACTTAGGCGCTGTAAACAAGTGTTAGGCTACATGAAGTCGCTTTAGTTCACTACTTAAATTTAGACACCAGTCGGAATTTCTTTCAGAACCTGTTTGCGAAATAGAATGGGTGATCTACTCAAGTTTTTCAAGTCCAAAAATGTGGACAGGAAATTCGCTAAGTTAGGCGAAGGCCATCGACTAAGCGATGCCAGCGTTGGTCACTCCGGTACATCAGTTTCCAAAAATAAGAAAGAGTTTACGTCTTCGCTACGGTCAGCATCATCGTCCGGATCAGCAGAAGCAGCAATGTCCAGGTTATCGATCTCAAGGCCCCAGAACACTTGCGGTAAGCATGGAATGTTTTAACGGCGTAGTTTATGATACTAGCATGTCTAACCAGTTTCTAAGCCCTGTTCTCGGCATATTTTGGAACCACATGCTTTACTTGATATACATTTTTGAGGTTTCACTGAAATTTACCATAGATTAAGTTGTCAACAGTATCTTTGGAAACACATGTTCCCAATTAAGACTTCCTAGTCCTTTATGTTGGCAGCTCGCAAAATCATTTGTAAAAAATGATTATCTTCCATGTAACTCCACTGCAGAGGTGCTTGAAACTTGGATGTTGCAGTTACATCAGATCCAGTTGGAATTTGCCGCTTGAATCTGATGAAGGGTGAAACATCATGCCTACAGCGATAACAAACGCAAGCAACAATATTTGCACACAAGTGTTTAGTATTCTCGGTATCTGAAAGTATAAACTTTGCATTTCCATCCTCAAAGCTATACTTTCAGTGCACTTCACGCCTGGGATTGTCGTAAAAATATCGAGTGAATGTAGCGCGTGTGCTGAATACGGAGGCACAATCTACCCATCAATCATAACCACCACTATATGAAATCAAAGTCCCTGAACTAGTTCTTCCACATATAGAAGTAGTGATTGCAACCAAATAGCTTCTGGAACGTGTCACTCATCCAACACAAAATTGTTCTATTTTTTGATTACCTCCAGTCGGTTGTTTGTTACTGTCCGTATTGCTCAACTGCTTTAGATATGGGTTATCTTTACAGGTCACTCCATAAGTTCTACCCTTTTCTGTGTTTGTGGACACCTAGAAATTGTGGTCCAGATTGCTCGTCAATCAAAAAGGAGTGAGCAACAAATGTCTTAAAGTAAACCGATTTTCAAACTACCCCCTCTTACTTACTGCTTCATTCTTTCTAATTATGACATGCCTCATTCGTTGTGTTTCAAGGAACTCCGTCTGTAATTTGCGCAAAACTCGACGTGTCATGCGGATAAAGCGACTTACATAGTTATTCTGCAGGAACGATCAGCTCAGAATTAAGTATTCGCAAGATCTCACCGTCCTGTGTATCTAAAATTCCTACAGACACATCACTTCAAACCAGTGGTATTCCTATTAGGCAAAATAACAGTAGTAGTCTGAGAGAAAACTCTTTGCAGATATCCGCTGCAGTGAACATTAAAAGTTGCCTGTATTTAAACTGAACAACTCGAATTTAATCGCTTATGAAAAATATCAGGTTTTTCATATACTCCTGAAATACATGTTAATTATGATAATCATAATTAACATTCAGGCAGTATCAAGGTATCCACATAGGAGCCCATATGCCAATAGAGGTCGAACAACTCGATCCAACAACACAACGGAGAATAACAAGTATGTCAATAAATAGTAATTATTCACGTATATTGAAATCATCGTGTAAGCAATATCGAAGTTTGGCGAACAGTAAGTAGGAAAACAGCCCAAGTCAGGTGGTGAGGAAGTTGTAAGCCATCACCAAGTGAAGTAGCTTAGGCGTGTATGGTGCATACCAAGCCATTTCCTACCTCAACGCGCAATGCTAGCCAAAGTAGAATTGAGTAGGAAGGAGGCTCAGAGTGCTCGGATCAAGACATGGAACCGATTCATGAAGTCTCTGAATGTGGTTTTGAGCCATGTCAATTGTTTGGCTGGGGTTCCTGAGGCGATAGGAATCATAGGTTGGAGATCCTTGATGATATGGGTGAAAATGGGTCACAATGGCGTAGATGTATTCTACACTCACAGCTTTCTACTGATTCATTGTTCAACATTTTCTTCTCCCTTACAAGCAGTGCACTTTTATGATAGTTTCTACGTCCATTTCACCTCACCTATCTGTTACTTATCAACGACTGATCTATCCGCCAACTTTCCTACTGACAATCCTTAATCAGAAATTTCAAAACACCACTAAATATATATATATATATATATATATATATATATATATATATATATATATATATATATAGTTTTCTTAATTCATCTACTGAATAACTTAAATGAGATTTGTTAGTAAGCCTTGTTAACTTTATCCCTAAGATTATGTTAGCTACTAAATTGTTGCTTCCAACTAAATAACTCAATTTAGTTGCCAAAAGCATGCTCCGATTCCTGAGGATGAATTTCTCCAAGAAAAGGGAAAATAAGACCGATAATAAATGAGATTACCAAACTAATTCACTTTTAATGCAGAAAGATGTGATAACAAGCACATTGTAATTAACCGACACCAAAACTCGTGTGAATAATTGTTTATCATAGGCTTAAAACAGTAGAATATCTATATCATGGCAGCAATTTAGCTGAATTTTACAGTAAGTAGAAATCCAATGAGTTGTTCATTTGGAACGATAACCAAACAGAATGAGAAATCAGAAGGAACGACAGGCAGTTAGGCGCGCAACATTCACTACTCGATCAACAGAAGAAAAAGCAGTTGCACGGAAGACTAATGGTTAAATATGAACGGGACTGCAGAACTTCTAAGACATGAGTGTTTTTAAGAATAACGGACTAATAAACAGCATAACAGAAAACATCTGCATAGTAAGCTCGTGGGATGTACCATCACTGGTGGAGATACCAATTATGATGCTAGGTAGTAGTTGCTTAGTATATAGCTTCACATTTGAATAAAAATTCATTCATTCATTTAACGCAAACATTAAGTACAGCAGACGCAGCCGAAGTAAACGTCTAATACATGAGCGATAGAAGGTTAAGTTCATGTCTTATTTGATGTTTGCTTCCAATGAATCCATCTTCAAAAAATTAGAAGGAAACTACGGGTATATGTCAAGAATATTACTAAACACTTAAAATACGACACCACTCCAAAACTGTGTGTGCTATCACGTGACAGCCAATGCCCTTGAAGTAAACTGTCACCACTAAAAGTGTCTTTAAACTGTGCAAGACAAGGCAAAAGATGCTCATCCTCTCATGTTGTCGCCAAGTGGTTAGCGCATGTTAATACAAGTTTAACCAGATAAACCACTGTCAGTGGGAGACAGGCAAGAGAATAATTTTTCCTATGACCTGCATAAAGGGTCAGCAAGGTTGCATATGGAATGTTGAAGTTAAATGGGGGTGAGGGTGGGGGTTCACAAGCGATGAGCGTTTCCTTCATGATGTTGGTTAAGGGAGGATATTAGCGACTAAAGTTCGGATTGACAACTTACCGGCCTGTGGTGTTACAAGACTGGCAAAGCTAGCTCATATCCACTCCGTCCTCACCCTTGAACTTCTAGCTGTTAGTCTTGACTCACATGCGGCACTAATCGATGTCCCGCATCTGTGTGCTATGAAAACAAGCCTATGCCTACCGGGTAAGTGGATGGCAGCCAACCACCAAGAATTCTATGGTCTGTCACCATCGTAAAGGAAACATTCAGTGAACACAACTCTGTGGACATCGCGCCTGCTTGGAATGTAAATTCTGTTGATACAAAAGTGAACTCTTTACAGTATTTATTGAACTGGCAGTCTTTCTGTAGAGCGTGTCAGCGTTCATTCGTGCGCAAATACCGTCCAATAACGAGCTTCCATGTGACCTAACAGGCGTTCGCGCACAGTGCAATGGCACCAGTGTGCTGAGGAGCAAAATAATGGAGATGAAATCTCCCTACTTACATAGACGTTGAAACTATTTTCACTAAAAGAATCTGGCTCATCGTTGTCTCAAATTCTGAACTGCACATGGTTAGCATGATCATCAATATCAACATAGGACCAGGCATTACTGCGTAACATTCCGAGTTGCCACAGCTCATGTCACTACATCAAGTAAAAAGGCAGTGAGATGCAAGGTAAAGATAAGAAGACTCAGACAAAAGAAATATAAAGTACGAAAGGAGAGAAAGGGGGAACGAGAAAATGGTGAGATTTGGCATTGCGTTGTTAAGATAATATATGTATGATTCTGTGCCACTGACATCGGTTCTGGGCTATATCACCTAGAGTCTCTAACCACTGGTTTCTTTTATCCTGCGGACCCCAACCGGCTAGTCTGCATCGCCGTACATGACTCAAACCAACAGTCAAAGACTTCATACATTGATGCCATGTTTTAGTCTGGCCGCCTCGGGCCTTTTCCCAGCCTGAACAGGCTTTGGCCAACATTGTGTGACAAGGTAATCGGTGGCTAGGCATACGTAATACGTGTCCCAACCATCTCAGTCGATGAAGGTTTACAACCGTGCCAACTGACTTACCTCTCTCTACACCTGACTTCTGTGTTACTCATGTGGTGACACCACGGAATACAGCCTATACTACGAAGGCAACGGTGGTCAAACACTTGAAGCCTTCTCATGTCTTCCACCTTCAATGGTCATGTTTCACAGTCATACAGTAGAACAGACCTGACTGCTGTGCAGTACACGTGACCTTTAGTAGACAATCGGACATCACGGCTGCCCCACAGATGGCGTAAGTTGGCGAAAGCCAGCCGAGCCTTTTGTATTCGTGCAGAGATTTCGTCGGCCACTGAGCCACCATGGGTGATCCCACTTTCGAGGTAAGTGAGGTTGTCAACACACTCAACCACTACACTCTCTGTTGCTGGCCGTGGCACCGTTGAAGACCAGTTCTGGAGCAACAATTTGCATTTGGGTGGTGAGAAACGCATCCTAGACATTCTCAAAGTATTCAGAAGACTGCACCTTGTCAGCGTCTTCACCTAACAGGACTATGTCATCTGCGTATTCTAGGTTTTAACGAAAATTCTTCCGCTATCAGGTCAACCTGTGTAATAAGGTGACGAGAGGAAGACCTCCATAAGAATATCTATGATAAAATTAAATAAGAATGGGGAGAGTGAACATCCTTGACAATGCTCGACGAGCACAGCCCCTAGGACATCTCACCACAGACTCTAACACGTTCATAAGTGTTCGAGTAGAGGGCCTCCAATAAAATGATGTACTTACTCGGCACGCCTTTCAGTGAGAGACACTGCGATGAGACTTCTCAATAGAAGGAGTCGAATGTCGCCTTC